GGTTTCAAAGAGCCAGGCCTTCACCAACTTGGGTCTGGAGTGTGGGGCTGGTCATTCATGTGGGCCAGTGCAATGGAACCATAGGTGCCGCCCAAGAGTGAGGGGGCAGGGCTGCCATGTCCAAGAGGGAGAAGAACAGGGTCCACCAGGCCAAGGACATGAGGTTGCCACTCAGGATCTAAGGGATTAGAGCCACCCAGTGAAGGAGATCTGTACAGATGCTAAGAAGACAAGGAGTGGAATTGTGGTAGTTATGTTTGTGTGTCAACTTGGCTGGGCCTGGTTGAGTGGCTGGACAGCCAGTGGTAGTTATTCCCCATGATGAGACTGGCAATCAACTCCACGGTAGGATCTACCACAAGCAGCTGAGTAGCTGCCTTTAGGATATGGTCTGCTTCCTGTATATAAGGAGAAGCCTTGGAGATAGTCTCTAGCTATGGCATGCTTGGACACTGCATGTAGCCGTGTTGTTGTTCAGTAGCCTGACATGCTGTGCCAACCTTGGGACTAAAATTCTTATACACATTTATTAATTCATTTACAAACAATAACCCCATTACACATTAATATAAATTTTTTAGATACCTATAAAATTATAGGTATAATGAATTAATGGCCTGCCATGTGGTTTGCTAACATCGGAACTGTATCTTTTTATTTGTCAATCTTGGGCTTGTTAGCCTCAGCACCCAGTAGCTGCCTAAGTGAAGAGATGCCTCTAGCTTCAGTGGGCTGGGGAGCAAGAGGCAGAGCTGAAGCCCAAGTTCAAGGGGTTTTCACACACCTCCTAGAGCCTGGCACTTGGAACTCGGACTTCTAGCCCAAACTGTGAGAGAATAAACTCCTGTTTGTTAAGGCCATCTCATTTGTGGTATATTTCTGTCAGAGCAACACTAGGTAACCAGAACTGGTTCACAGCCGAGGACTTAACCACTGTGGCACCAGGGATTCTCATGTAGAGTAGCTGTATCATATAAATCATTTTTAACTTAGTAAATTCTCATTTGCCATCAAGTTGATTCTGAGTCCTGGCGACCCATGCGTGTCAGAGTAAGTAACTGTGCTCCATAGGGTTTTCAATGGCTGATTTCAGAAGTAGATTTCCAGGCCTGTCTTCCAAAATCTCTCTTGGTAGACTAGAACCTTTCATTTAGCAGCCAAGCATGATAATCATTTGTACCACCCAGGGACTCTAATAAATCTAGAGGAAAGTAATACCTAAGGATAGAGACTATTACAAATACTCATATTAGAAGTGATCTGAATATGTATAAAGAATTAAAAATCATTCTTTAAAGAAATAATATTTGTAAAATAAGTCTGACAGTACCAAGGGTTAGAGGGTTAAACAATACTTATGACCTAGCAATTCAATTTCTACTTGTATTTCTTAGAGAAGTAATTTCCAAACAGTAGACTACCCAATTAGTGGATTAAGGAATCAATTTGTTGGGTTATTGGCAGCACTTAAAAGAAAAAAAAAATAGAAAATATCAGACTATATCACTATATACACATAGTTTAGAAATGATAGTATTGTCTGAAACCTGTTTGTACACACTGTGTGTACAAACCTAGTCACAATAAATTTCTTACTGGGGGTCACAGTAATAGGAAATTTGAAAAACATATAGTCTAGAAAAACTTTTGCCCATGAGCACTTGAGTGAAAATGAATGAAACAAAGCCACCTGTAACAATAAAAGAAAATTTTAGAAACAAAAGCTTTGACAAGAGAAAAATTAAGTAAGAGAATGACAATTTGACGTCATCTTTATAAAATTTAAAATGGGCAAAATTAGACAAATTACTATTTAGGAATACATTTTTTAATTTTTCCTAAGAGCAGGGAAAGATGAACACAAAATTCTGAATGGTGATTATCTTTGGGGTGAAGCTCAGTGGGAGATGGATGGGGAAAATCACAGAGATAGCACATTCATAATTTGGGTAGTAGAGTTAGTAGAGTCACAGTTCTTCTCTTCTAACACTTCGTAGAATGTATGTTACATAAATGTCTTGGATATACTTAACCCTTTATTTTAAACGGTGTATTTAAATGAAAACAAGAAGTGATTGAGGCCTGAAATAGGATGAGTGATATAGCTATAACAAAGGAAAACAGCCAGTGAGCATTAATTTTATTCTCTGTGATTTCACTCATTAACTCTTAGCTTCAAAATATTATATATATATATATATATATATATATACACACACACACACAAACACACATACACACACACGTGTGTGTATCACGACATTTACCATTTCTAGCTTAAACAGTGATAGTTAAGAAAAGTTTAAAAACCTGGCTGACTTTATACAACTAATAATTACTACAAATTAGGATTCAAAGGCAAGACTTTCTTGTCTCCAAAGTCCATGTTCTATTAATTACTCACATAAATGGACTGGTAACTGGATGTAAATGTTTAGTCATAAATGTTTAAAAGCTCATAGACCTGAGAGATTACCTACTCCAACCTCTTTTTATTTTGTGGATAGAAAATTCAGAGAGTAGGCTATAAACACCCTATGACTTTCTAAAGCAATTCTCAACCTTTTTGGTCTGAGGACACTTTACAATCTTAAAAACTACTGAAGCACCCAAAGATCTTTTGTTTATGTGGATTATAAGTTTCAATATTTACTGTATTACAGATACTAAAACTAAAATTCTTATAAACATTTATTAATTCATTTACAAACAACAACCCCATTACACATTAATATAAATTTTTTAGATACCTATAAAAAAAAAGTGAAAAGTGCCATTATATCACATTGTTCAAATCTTTTCAAAGGCTTAATAGAAGACAGTAGTATCTCATATCTATGTCTACATCTAATTTATGGTATTATATTGTTTTGATTGAAGTGTATGAAGAAAATCCACCCTCACATAAATATGTAGTTGGAAATGAAGACCTTGGAGACCCCCTAAAAAGATCGTCTGGACCACCCCCCCCAGAGGTCTTCAGACTACACTTTAAGAACCACTGTTCTAAAATTTATTCTAGTCATCATTCTTAAGGACTTGAGCAAACTAAGGCGTATATAGAAGCAACGAATTGAGAGAAAAATCTAGTTCTCACTGAGCTGAGCATCAGCACAAACTAATAGAGATTAGACTCAGGGTAGCAACATTTTTATAAAGGGACCAATAGTAAGTATTTTAGGCTTTGCAAACCGTACAATATCTCAACTCCCTTCTTCTAGAGCAAAACCATTTACAGTCAATACATAAATGAATGGGTATAGATGTATTCCAATAAAACTTTATTTACAAAAACAGGAGAGGCCAGATATGGCTCTCAGTCAACAGTCTGCCAAACACTACCTTAGACTCAATGTATTATCCCTAGAAAAGTGTGAGTAAAGCCATTTTATAAAATCAGATTTACTCTTCTTTTTCAGCAGATTGTATTCCAACATAATTCTGGAGGGTGATTCTTCCAACCTGGAGTCCATAGGTGACACAAGTCCATTCAGCTGCTAACTAAAAGGTCAGCAGTTCAAGTCCACTCATAGGTACCTCAGAAGAAAGGCTTGACAATCTGATTCTGAACAATCAGCCACTGAAAACTCTATGACATGCATGGGGTCTCCATGAGTCACAAGTAATTCAATGGCAACTACTTTGGTTTCTTCCACTCTAAAACATCCTTATTACTTTTGTTGTTGTTGTTCTTATGTGCCCGTGAGTCAACTCTAACTCATAACAACCAATAAGACAGAGTAGAACTGCCCCATAGGGTTTCCTAGGCTATCCTTTACAGGAGCAGATCACCAGATCTTTTTACCCATGGAGGAGCTAGTGGTTTCAAACCCCTAACCTTTCAGTTAGCAGTCAAGTGTTTAACTACAGCATTACCAGGACTCTTTAAGATAGCCTTTTAAACCTTTGCAACAATAGCACACCTTCCTCTCACTGAGAAAACAGGAGGCAAAATTAATAACTCTCAAATAATAAAAAGCTATGCAAAGAAAGCACCTACCTATATCTTTAAATAGCCACATACTTTCAATAGAATGGCAATATATCCCAGAATAACCACTTTGACAGTCAACAAAATAAAACATTCAAAGTATACCAAATTTATCATTTTTATTCTTTCTTTTTTCTAGTAAATTAAAGAAAAAGAAAAGTTTACATGAAAGTTACATTTTATTAATTTTGAGTAAGGAAAGTGTTTTATATAAAAAAGAATTAAGACTATAATTGAAACAACATTTTACTACATTCAAGTTAGTGGCAGGGGCAAGGAATAATAGACCAAGCAATTGAGAAAAAACAAAAACCCACTGCCATCAAGTCGATTCCAACTCATAGCAAACCCCACTGGGTTTCCAAGGCAGTAAATCTTTATGGAAGTAGTTGCCCAGTCTCCAAAATAGTGGTAATGGTACCATTCTTTAAACTTTTTGTATATGAAGACTATTTCAAAAAAAATTTTAACAAAATCTATATACATGGAACTTTCGAACTTACATTGGCTTTACTCAAAAAAAAAAAAAAAAAAATCAAACTAGTATATTCCTCCAAACCAATTTTTAAATTGGTTATAACATGAGCAAAGGACAAACATGAGCAAGACTTTTCTGTTTATTCAACTACCTTACATCATTAAAGAATTTCTCATCTTTGAATGTAGTACGCCACCTTGTGTTCAAAAGCTCTCTGGAAGATTCACAGAAACATGTCTGTAAACAATGTGAAAATCTTAATTCTTTTATGCTGTAGAATAAGGTTTCACTTTATTAATTCAAGTACACATAAAACTGACATTTGCAAACATCATTTTGAGTTTGAAGAAGATGCAAACACTCAGTATTTCTTTTCAGTGTCTCCTTTATTCATTTGTTCATTTCACCTCACTTTCACAAAATAACCTCTTTTACGTTGGTTTTTAATACAGGGATTTTTTTTTTTTAATGAAGAAAATCTACATAATAGACATTTAAAATGCTAAAATATACCTTCATAAAGAAACTTACCTTTGAATGTGTGATTGATAACGTGTCAACCCATACACGCCAGCCACCCCACTCATATTTGACTGCATGGTAAAGTAGGATTCTGAATATGGCATATACCATTTCTGTTATCTTCTGTTCATCTGAGTTCTTAGGATTAAAATAGCAGAGAGAAAGCATCCATTCTTGCCATACAGAGCACTGTAGCAAGCTCCTGAAAATCACAAGAAGGTGCCAAATTATTTTAAAAAAGAAGAAAGGTCATTTGAAAAGATTCTAAAAAGAAAATGTTTAAATCAAAATAAATGACAAAAACAAAGTATATTTATGCATTCAAAAGAAACAATGTGGTACTGAAAATTCTAACTGTATGGGACATTATTTGCATGCCTTTAATGAAATAAGCATGTGGAAAATTCATTTCACAGTATTTTTAAAGTAATTCTCCTTAGAAAAACTGGGCTCCTACAAAAGTAGACCTGAATACTGGAAATAAATCCTTTTGGATTCTGCTTACCTCCTGTTTTCTCTACTGTTATTAAAAAGTTTAATCATGTCAGAAAGAAAGGCTCTGCGAACCTCCATGCTCTCTGGACACTGGGGAGAATTTCGAACCAGGGTCGCAATTACTTTTAGTATCTCTGCAAGACAGTTTATAAATAAGTAAAAACCAAACTACAACAAAAGTTCATGATGGAAGATCACCAATACATTTCAATTTCTTTAGCTTTCCTAACATAATTAAATGTCTACTGAAAACACTGTCTTTAGCATTATAAAAATTATCATCCATATGACAATACATTTATTGGCAAGCACTATAAACAATGGATATTTTTTTATTCCATGTCTTCATTGTGCAAAATAAAGCTAAATTTTAAAAGGTTAAAATAAAGCAAGTCAAATTATAAATGAATTAACCAATGATGAAACTTCTGACAACTCTCCATAGTCTCTGCTACATAGTAAAGATCTAAAAAAGCATACTGCAACCAAAATCTCAGAAAAAGAATAAATTCTCAGTGCTTTTAACATAATTTATGCTACGCACATACCTTTCCTGTATCACAGTGAAATTTAAAAGCTGTCAAGATTTTCTTGTGTAATTTAAAAAGTAAAATTAGAGGCAAAAACCCCAAAGGAAATTAAAAACCTATTCAATCCCCTACCAAAGTCAAACAAAACTGTTATAGCAATGGTCTTAGTATAAAACTGTCTAAATTTACTTAGCTTTTATAAAAAATCCTTTAAAATATATACTTCAATCTAGAACTTTATAGATAAGAAACAAAAGAGAGTTATAACCTTCGATTTAAACTTAAATAATGTATCAAATTTCAACTAAATTGAAAATTTGGGAATTCTAAACCAGGCTTTTGCCAAGGATTGTGGTTATCCCAAAGCAATACTTTATTTTTATAATAGAGAATATGAAGATACTTTGTCATAAAATTAATGGTACAATTTCTAAACTCTTTTGATGACAAATTCAAAATTTCTCTAGCTGAGTAATGCTTACAATGACCATCATCATCATAATGATAATAATAACAACAATAACCACTAAATTTGTAGCCATACTACTGTGAAACACCATTTTAAGAAAGTAAATATTAACTTATTTAATCCTTACATAACGATAGATATTAGTATCCCCTTTTTAGAGATAAGAAAACTAAGACACGAAGAAATTAAGTCATTTACCCAAAGTCACAGAGCTACAAACTAGACACGTAGCAAGGACTCCAACCCAAGCAGCCCATATACTTTAACCACCCTATATAACCAAATAAAACCAACTGCCGTCAAAAGTTGATTCCAACTCATAGCAACCCCACATTACAAAGTAGATCTACTCTATAGGATTTTCTTGGCTGTAATATTCCTGGGGTTTTCTTCCATGGTGCCACTATGTAGGTTCAAACCACCAAATTTTAAGTTAGCAGACAAGCGCCAACCATTTGCGCTACCCAGAAAACCTTCACCTACCATATATATACTGTCTCTTTTCTGAGACGGTATAGTAGGTAGGTAATACATTCAAAAATTCTTACTTCAGTAAGTCATCCTCCTTATAATTTATGTGCGTGGATAACGTATTATCATTATATGGGAGCTCTGGTGGCACAGTACCTAAGGCATTTGACTGCTAACCAGAAGGCTGGTGGTTCAAACCCACCAGCCACTCTTCAGAAGGAAGACTGAGCAATCTACTTCTGAAGAGATACCGCCTCAGAAACCCAAGGAGGGGTCACTATGAGTCAGAGTAAACTCAACAGGAATTGAGTTCGGTTTTGGTTTATCATGTATTATCTCCCTCTCCCCCCTCTCCCTCTCTCTCTCTATATGTATGTATGTATATGTGTGTGTATAGATGCATATATAAATTTCAAGGCTTTCCTCCTTTTCTTACTCTCTAACATGATATGAATCTCACTAAAGGCTGAGAAAAATTTAAACTATAGAGCCATGTGTTTTTAAAACTAGCCCTTAAATTGAGTATGCATACAAACACACCTCACTATATAAAAAGTAATCAAATTCAAAAATTCTATAAACCTGTTATTTTAATGACATGATTTAAACAGGCAAAATGAAAACCTGCACTCTGTACAAATGCTTAAAAGTAACACAGTCAGAGCTTTGCTGAAAATCTTACAAAATATTAATTCAGTTTAATGCATATAATTCATCGAAACCTTTATAAACATTTCCATATAGCCTAAAGTCAAGTGGATATTATATTCAACATAAAACACAAATAAACTAGTACTATATCATTCCCCTTAATAAGAAATGCATCTAATAACTTGTTTCCAACAACATCAACTTTAGGGTTTTCAGAGTGACTTTTTTTTTTCAAGTAGCAAAACAGTTCTTTAAAAGTCTATAAGATACATACGAGGATTCTGTATCTTTACTGAAGAATCTGGATCTGGGTGTTGTTTATGTATCACCTGAGTACAAATCTGTTCTATAAGGATCTACAGAAGACAACAGATTTAATTAGTTTAACCACTGCATTAGTGTTAGCACTATTCTACTTTAGTACAATACTAACCAAAATCTAGTAGACAATCATCAGTATCGTGTTAAATATGTTCTTCAGAATATAAAATTAAGAATTTCTAGATCATAACTCAATTTTACTTATTAAATTAGAAATCACCTATCTAATGTGCAATGTACTAAAACATATATTTCCACATTGTTTAATAATATACAGATTAAAAGATAAAAATGCAGGCAAAGTTCTTTTATATAGTAATCACAAAATTTTAGATCAGAAACTTAATATCAGCTCAATCAACATAGGTGTTTTCATAATAAAACCTTCAAATAAATTAGCAAAATTAAATTCTAAATACATTCCTACCTCAAACAAGACATTATATGTGGTCATTGTTATTAAATTTGTCTGAAGCATGAGTCTTTCAGCTAGCAATGAAAATAATCCATGCCCAAGCATGACTTCAGCTTTTCTCCTACAATTAAGAGGAAAGAAATAATCAAACATAGTACTTTTTTATTCTATAGTATTTTATTTTATTTGGGGGGGGGGGCAGCTTCACAGCTGTGCCCCATACACCAGGTTTACTGGTTGGATAGAGACTTGTAGAACTCCCAAGACTATGGCCCTGAGTCACCCTTCAGGCCTGGAATTGAACTCCCGTCCCATGGCTTAATTCTTGGCCAAATAATAAACAGACGTAGGAACTGAATTACACCAGGGAGAGGCACTCCTTAGAACAATCCACTATGGCAGATCAGAAGAACAGCATTTGCACAGAGAGAACGCTAGGGAGGCAGGAATGCATACATAAGAAAGACACAGAGAAAGGGCAGCCAGGGGGAGGAAGTGGAAGGAGAGCTGTTACACTGCAAGGAATGTAATCAGTGTCACAAAGCAAACTGTGTTTCAAGTGCTGAAAGTAAAACCAAGCTGCTCTGTAAAATTGCACCCAAATCGCAATATAAAGTTAAAAAAAAAAAATTAAAGAAAGGAAATCCTATGGAGAAGTTCTACTTTGCATACATGGGGTCACCATGAGTCAGAATCAACTCAACAGCTGCTAACACCAACGAAAATGGTTAATGATTTTGAACATCTTTTCATGTGCTCATTGCCCATTTGTGGAAAGTCTGTGGTGAACTCTGTATTTTAAAGTCCTTCTCATATATTTTTTTTAATTGTGCTTTAGGTGCAAGTTTACACAGCAGAGTTTGTTTTACATTCAACATTATGTGTTTCACTCCCCATTTACCATCCCCAATCTTAAACCAGTCTCCTCCCCTCCCTGCCCAGTAACCCCCTTCCCCTCATGCCCCTCATAGTTATGTATTCCTGTGTGTCCTGCATTTCCTCCATGTGAAATACTATTCCATAGTAGTTGGAATGATGTTAGATAAAGTAGACACAAAGTTTTTCATAATTATCAATAAATACCAACTCAAATATTCTCCCCAATTTTCTTCCACCTAGAATCAGTGAGGCTAAAAAGTTTAACGAAAGAAATACTAACTACAATAAAAGAACAGCTAAAGGTTTTAAAAAATCACAAGATTTGCTAAGCCATAGTACAGCAGAGAGCTCCCATCAAAATCTTCAGAGCAATTATTTACTAATTTAGTTGCCAATATTCTCCAGCACTCAGTGAGACTTTACTGGGGATAATCTATAGCATAGTAAGTAGTTAAGTAGAAAAGCAATATAAAAGAAAAGATAGAAGAAATCTAAGAGAATTTAAGAGTATGAATATTATAAAGATTGTATATTCAAAAATTTAACTTCTGCATATAAATTTAGAAACTGAAGAATCACAACTTTTAATTCTACTATCTCTGGAGTCAGCAAACTTTTATGCAAAGGGTTCGATGGTAAATATTTTAGGTTTTGTGGACCACATGGTGTCAGTCCCAACTACCCAACTCTGTCACTGTATTGCAGAGGCAGTCATAGACAAATGATTGTGGCAGCATCCCAATAAAACCTTGTAAACCTTGTTTACAAAAACAGGCAGCCATCTGGATTCAAGGATTCAATCCAAGGGCCACAGTTTCCCAACCCCTGCTCTACAGAATTATATATACATACATATATATATATATATATATATATATATACAC